GGAGGGGGCGGCGGCGGCAGAGGCAGCCGGCCTGGGGCGCGGGGGGGCGGCGGGGTGGGGGGGCAGGCGAGCGAGCCCGAAGGGAAGCGCGGAGCCATGTCGGGCCGGCCCAGGACCACCTCCTTTGCAGAGAGCTGCAAGCCGGTGCAGCAGCCGTCGGCCTTTGGCAGCATGAAAGTTAGCCGTGAGTATCGATTTTTTTTTCCTTTTTTTTTTTGCATCTGATCTGCCAGTCGGTCACCTTTGCCAGCTTCTCCTCCTCCCCCCCCGGGGTTAGTCGTCGGGGCTCAAACCGGGCCCTCCTTTTTGGGCCTTTAAAAAAATAAAACCGGGGGGGGGGGGGGGGAAGAGGACCCTGCCCTAGAAGACTGTTCGGAAGCTGTCAGGGCTCTGGGAGGCCCCGGGTGACAGCTTCCTTCCCCACCCAGCCCGGAAAAGGCACACCCTGTGGCTTCCATTTAGGACCACACAAAATGAATCTAGAAACCCATTCTTGTTTCCGTTCCGGCTCAAAATAAACTTGGATCCTCTCGGTCTCCATTGAAGGCCGTGCTCTCCAAGCATTGACTGGCTCACTGTATATGGGAATGCTTTTTTTGCAGGACGCTGGGTGCAGGAGCTGTTCGTAGTTCCCCCTGAACCCAGAGAGAGGTGACTCGTCTGTCTGCTTGCCTGCCCGGCTCCACATTTCAGTGGCTTTCCCAGCAGCTTTTGTTAGGCATGTCTGTGGAGAGTGATGGGTCTGCCTCGTTCACACAGTCTTTAAAGGGAAGAGCTTTGGCGATCTCCAACCGATGCTTCTTCTTTCGGGTTCTGTTTCGTGCACAATGAATAATTCTTTATTAGGTTGTGCATTATTAACGCATCAGCCTCGACGTGAATCTTCTGCAGTATAAGAGGGCCTTCAGAGTTGAGGTTAAGAAGGAAGTGCCTTACAAAGGGTAGGCCTGTGGCCCCGTTCTGTTGAGCTACACAGTAGTGATGTGCGTACTTCCTGAAAACGCAGACAGATGTTGAATCAACAACTTTCCAGCTGTGTTAATCAGATGATGGTATGGTCTTGGTGAGCAGTTTTCTTTCCAACATAATTTGCAGTCCATCTGTTTCCCATTCTACGTAATTCAGACAAGGGTATAACTTTCATAGAAAGATAGTTCAGTCTGGTTATCTCTGGGAGAATGTTGGATCTACAACAGGCTTTAACTTGGTTTCCTCTTATGCTCCTGAAGATTTTGTGTGAAGGTTGCAGTCCCAGGTGTACTTGAGCTTTTTGGTGGGTTTACATTAAGGGATATAATTGCCTGACAGAATGTGTACCCATTCAGTTCTGTAAATTTGTGAGAGTGCAGTCCGCCAAGGAGAAAACAGCCCCCTCCACCCATGTATGGTGCCTTCTGGGTGTGTAGCAATCCCCCCCCCCCATGTTCTTGTAGCCCCAGACAGTAAGCGGAACTGCCATTCATCACCAGATTTGCCCTGGTGGGATCACAAGTCATGCAGGTCTAGATGACAGGTTCAGATGTCTGTATTCCTTTTGAAAACGTAGAACAAGCTTAAGTGGAAGAGCGATAGAACTTTTGATGTACTGTCCACTTAGTCCCCCACTGCATCGCTGTTGCTAGAGATGACATTTTTATTAAATGCATATTGATAAAGCACAACACTGCTTTTGATTGCTTATTATCATGTGAATATCTGGTAAGAGGATTGAGGGCTAGTCAAGCTCTGAGCCTAGTATCACTCCAAATGGGTGTGTGAGAGGTTAGAGCACAGCGTATTAAGGATTCGAGAGTGTCTGTATAATTTTACGGGTGGTTCTGGGATTGAGCATTAACAGCCTAATTTATTGTTGAGCGCAAGTTAAAACTAGACCACAAAACTGAAACGTTACGTGACATTTTCAAAAGGTTACTGGCTGGTAGGAGTGAAGGAAGAGGGAATGGTGTGGCTGTTCTTTTCTGGATGCTGTACTAGTTCTAGGAGCTACATGATGCTCATACTGCCCAGCCCGATCTCATCAGATCTTGGAAGCTAAGCAAGGGTCAGCCCTGGCCAGTACTTGGATGGGAGACCACCAATTAAACCCAACATTGCTACACAGAGCCAGGAAAATGGCAAACCACCTCTGAACGTCTCTTGCCTTGAAAAACCCTACAGTCATCCTAAGTGGCTGTGACTTGACAGCTGGGGGGAGGGAGTCACATACTGGTTTTTCAGGATTGGCTTTATACAGTAAATCTTTAAAAGCAACAGTATGGAACTCCCGGTTAAGAAGGAAACCTGGAATCCCCCCCCCAATACTGTTTCCATCACCATGGCAGTATGGGGTTGGGAGACATTTGCAGGGGAGAATTTTTGGGTGGGAGAGAGGTTCCTTAACCCTCATCCGCCACAGATTTTAAAGAAAACATTTTGCCTTTCTGGGGGGAGGGTCGTTCCCTCTTCTGCTTCCCTGTCGTCTCTTACAAATGCTCCTCCCGATTCCCATATTCTAGGTAGCTGGCAGACTCACATTTGAGAAGGACACGTTTGCCAACATCATAGATAGTTTTACATTTAAGTCACCCAGTATTTCAGTCGGTCGTTCAGGTTTGTGATGTTAAAATAGGTTATAATGAGTCAAATCCTGGCAGAGGTTTCCTTTTCATCGTCAGTTGTTTGAAGATAATGGAGGTTAACAAATCCACTGTGTGACTGCGTGGTTACTGGAGATGTAGGAGGAAAGACTTTATTCCCAGGTCTTGATTTGCACATTTAAGAGATATCAGAGCCATGGAATGTGGATTGGAAATTGTGGTCCAGTGAAGTTTGTCAGAAACTACTAAGACCCTAATAATAATGTGAATTATCAGCGCACTACGATTTTAGTAGCATTTTAAAAGTAATATGGCACAGTACCATATTAATCCCTTCCTCTAGTTTATATTTATGACTTTGTTACGGTTGATTATTTCTTTGAATTCTTGTCGTACCCTTTATCAAGAAAAAGTTGGAACCTAAAGTTAAGGGACTATGGCTGCAATCCTAAGAACACTTAAAATGGGAAATTCCTCTGAGTAGACTGCTTAGGACTTGCCCCTTAACTATGCTCAAGTTTACCAGCTTCTGGATCAGGCTGTTGGTATTTGCATCCCCTTGGATGGAACCGGTGGCTTTGGAACCGCATCTCCGGTAGCTGGATCAGCTGACGGAAGGGCGGCAGACATGCCTGGTCCTGTCTTTGGTGTTGACCTCATGTGACATTGAGCTGGTCCCCCTCTCTATTTTCTTTTAATGGTCCTGACGTTGCCTCTCAAAAAAATGCTCCTGTGGCAGTGTACAAAAAGGAACAAAAACAGTTCATAGTTAAAAATGTATAATGTTCTAGAGATCTTGACCTAAAATTATAGTTAAAAAAAGCAGTGACCCTGTAGAGAATAAGAGCAGCGGAGCCTTGAAAGCCAATGGAGGGTTGGGGGAAGGGAAGGAACCTCTTGCCAGAGCTCTGGGAAATAAAATCATCTTCATTTAGTGCCTAAAACTCAGAAGGGGGAGGCACCTGGCAAACATATGTTTGCCTTTAATTATAGGAGTTTGGGATAGATGCTTTCTGCTTTTCCTCGCTCAAGAAAAATTGGCCGTGCTGACAGAAGGCATATAACGTGACTTGGTCTGTTCTTTTTGATTTTGGCTCTCAGCGTTTAAGAAAGTGTGAAAGTAACTTTATGTTGTTCTTCTAGTACTGTCATGCCCATTGGCAGTCCCCGTACTTTCTGGGTCAGTATCTTCGTAGTGAATGTTTGCTGGCCCCTCCCTTCTGACCGTTCTTACGTACCCATCTTCTCCTTTGCTACTTCAGCAGGCAATTGTTCTGGCTGAGGTATGCACAAGAGTCAATAGCTTACGTGTGCCACAGATCTTTTCTTATTTTTTAAAAAATACATCCTGCTTTTCAGCAGCTTTTCACATTGTTCCTCCTACCTCTGCGACAACAGCCTTGTGAGGTTAGGTTAGACTGAGAGATTGTGAGGGGCCTCAACTCACCTGGCAGGCTTCCATGGCCTAGCGAGGGATTTGAACCCAGTCACCCCACATTCTAGTCTTACAATTCTCATCACTACACCACAGCAGACTTTCCGTCTGGTACAGATTCCAGTGAGGCAGCCTGTATTAGTTTGTTGCTGCATCTTTTAAGATGACTCCTCTGTATTTGTATGTAAGTAGTAGTAGTAAGTTTATTGTATATGGCCATTGGCCGTCACAATATAAAATATAAATACACAATATAAATTTAGGGTTCAAAAGTACATTTCTTAAAAACAAAGCCTTCAGAATAAGACTGTATAACATTTGAACAAATAAAACAATCAAAGTTTTAAAATAATGAAAGGTATGCTACCAGTTTTGTAGCTCTATGTTAGACGATACTGGAAACAACATTGGATCTAACTTTTCTGGCTGCAAGCGCAAAAAGCGCTACCTTGCGAGTAACCAGGGGATACATATCCAACAAGATGAAAACCAACTTTTCATTCATTTGTATGGTGCACAGCAACTATAATTGTGATATATTAAACGTGGGGTTCCACCCACTCACTCTTGGGTTGTTTTTTTTTGCAGATTTGCCACGTTGAGAGATTACGGAGTACTTATCACCATTACCTCTATAGCTTACAGTGCAATCCTGAGCAGAGTTGCACCCTTCTGAGACCATTTAAGTAAATGTGCTTAGAAGGGCTTAACTCAGCTTTGGCTCACACTCTACAAGGACTAAGGCTTCCCTAACAGTTTGTTGGCATTTCTGTACAAGGACTAAGGCGGAAGAGGCTTCCCTAACAGTTTGTTGGCATTTCTTCCTGACCCAGTTCTTTCTCCTGTATCTTGATTGCTCGATGAGTGGGGCACCTTGCTGACCCTTCCAGGCGGAGTACGGTCATGGTGGTGTTCTGTTAATGGCAGTGATGGCCAGGAAGGCAGTGCACCAAGGCAACCTTTCTAGCTTCTTGGCTTGTGCCAGCCTTTTTTTCCCTTCATTTTCCATTTGGCCTGCCAACGGTGGTCATATCACGCCTTGGCTGTTCACTTAAAGGACTGCCTATCCTCACTTGGTGCCCTTTTGTGCCGCTTCTCTCTTGGCATTTCCCTTAATGCACCTGTCTGTCAACTCCTCTGTATAAATGCTTCATTCCCATCCCAAATTGGAGC